CAGGGGATCAAAACATGAGCTCACATGTTTCTATAAATGGTCTGGGTCCTACATGACAGGTTAGCGCTATAACAAGTCACTCCACCCTGAAACAAACTGATTGTCCACTTTGAATAAACTGGGGAATAAACATGTCAGTAATCATGTTTCTCTGATAAAGGCCATATGACTGCTATCACCTTCCTGATACATGATACCATCAGCTGCACTACATATACTGACCTATGTGTCACTCTGAGCATAAATGTGTGCATGAATAGGTAGGTGGTTCACCTCGGTTATAACAACCCACCATCACAATACTCATCAAACCAAAAGCCACTGACTCTGACTTTATCCATGTTGAGACAAACTGTGGCACTGGACAGAGATATGGACATGTGAGGGCATTTCAATCAATCAAACAATCAATCTTTATTTGTATAGCCCACATTCACAAACCACAGTTTGCCTCATAGGTCTGAATAATCTGTACAAGGTGCAACATCCTCTGCAAGACCCTTGATTAAATGGAAAAACTTGTGTGTCGATATATCTTGAAAGTGATGTAATTTATGTAATTTGAACTTTTATCTTTCTTGCGACTTGAGTTGCAACATCTGTTGATGATTAACTGAACTGCTGTTATCGTTTCATACATTACATTTTGGCTATTTCAGAGGTCTGTTAAGCAAGCAACAAATCGTCAGACCCAAGTTCCCAAATTCTCTAAATAAAAGCTCTGCTATCCAGCTGAATATAAAGAATAGCTTCAACAAAACAAATGTGGTGCTTTAACTTTGAAGATAAATTGCCAAACAAGAAGTGATTCTATGAATGCTGATGCGATGGTGTGGACCAGTGCCCAACACCAGTGAACTTCTATTACAGTCCAACATGATGAAATAAAAATGATTAAAACATCAAAATGATCTGGTGGTGATTTTAACCCATTTACCGACCACAGCTTTAACTGCATAATTCATATACAAATAATAGACTTGGTTGTCCTTTTCTCACTCATCACCGTCCAAATGTACTTAAATGGCCATCTCCAAATGTAAGAAGACACATTCACTGGTTGCAAATGAAAATGCAAATGTATTCCTTTCAATTTCCCTTCTTATTTTCAACAATATCTTGGTGTTTACTTCAAATTATCTAATTATGATCAGGTTCATTTATCTACTTCTCTGTCTTCTGTGCAAAGAAGACAATTGGAGAAATAGTTTTTATATAGAAAGCAGTCTGGAATCATTTATTAGCTGATATAAAACCCATTTCCTCACTTGGTATGTTTCAGCATGCTCTGTCTTCTTTTAGAGATGGACTGCT